GGGTGAAAAGTCTAATAATTACTTAATTAAATTAGTTATTTACCATTTTGATTTGATAGAATTATCCTATTTGAGAAAGCCATTGCTGTGTTGAATACGGGTTGCCACTATGTTCCGGATGCTGAATATGGGATGCCACTATGTCAAATAAAATTTCATAACGATAAGCTATTATATATTGTAAGTATTAGAAGTATCCTTATATAATAGTAAATTTTTTTTAAATACAATGACAAGCTCGATAAACCGAAGTGGTTGTTGGGATTATCGGTAGAAATTTTGGAAACATTCGACTTGTATAATTTTTTTAGGCATAAATCACTAAAGACTGTTTCTGTTGCCAACTTCGGTTTATCCAAGTCTTATTCCTCTTCAGTTTATCGAGAGTGCCTTTGTAATTTAATTTACCTTGGACGTCGTTTTCCTTTGAAAGTTTGTTGCAATTTTTGCAAAGGTGCATCTTGTGGTTTAAGTAACTCAAAGCTGCATAATAATTCCTCGTTCACGTTCATCACGGCACCATAATTATCAAATTCACCGCAATAATTAGGCGCAGAAAACACGGTGACCAAAGTTCTGTCATTGAAAAATTCGTATCCATCTTCAACTACCATGTGTGCACGACAAACTAGATCGAAATCATGACGTGCAAGAAATTCATGAATTATTGCTTTTCCAAAACAATAGCTGACACCCCGTTCGTTGTCTTCCCAATCGACTGCGGTATCAGATGGGTCTGACCAAAGAAGATCGTTCAGTAGACCAAAATCTGGTACATCTTGTGGCCTCTGTATGTGTCTAATTTCATCCATTGTGGTGAGTGATGGCGAGAGACCTCCATGAACGCAAAAGATTTTAGATGCTACAATTGCAGCTATCGGAAGGCAATTAAATACATCAATAAAGGTTTTCCAAATTTTGACGCTGGAACGGCGTTTACATTCATCGTAAAATCCGTAAACTATAAAAGAGAGGAATCAAAGAAAAATTACATATATGTATATAAATAAGAGGTTAAAGAGGCATAAGCTTAAAAAAGAAATTGTTTCAAATCTGGTACTCGAATCACGTATAATTGTCTATAATACAAAAAACGCAAAACCCGGACCTCATTTAATACCCAACTTGATCATTTTACCTCGCGTAACATTGGCGCATTCATGATTTCCTCGTAGCAAGAAAAAGTTTTCCGGATACTTAATCTTGTAACAGAGTAATAATAAGATAGTCTCCAAACTCTGTTTACCACGATCAACGTAATCACCGAGAAACAAATAATTCGCCTGTGGTGGAAATCCACACATCTCAAATAACCGAATAAGATCAGTGTATTGACCGTGAACATCACCAACAATCTTCACAGGAGGTGAAAGTTCAATAAGAGTTGGCTGTGACAACACAATTTCACGTGCCGCCTGACAAATTGCTGTTATTTCTCCATTTTTTAGGCAAACGGATTTTGAGACCTTTCCTGAATATCCCGCGTTTTTGAGTCTTTGTATCATCTCATCAATATCCAGTGGCTTAATACGCTCATTATGATTAGATCTCACAGCAGTAACATGAGGGTTGATACTGTTATTATTATAACCATGGTTGAGAGGTGAACCAGGCGTAATATCGTTGGAATCACTCTTTGCGGTTTCCCCGTTTCCATTTAATCGCAAAAGGATAGGCTCCATTGTTGTCAGAAAAGGTGATGACGGTGAAGTGGGTGTATTACCATTACTATCCTCGGTGGTATTAATTGTTGTGACGTTGTTGCTATCGAAGATATTGGTATCCACCTTCAGATATTCACTCAACGAATTGACAGTATTCCCATTAGAGTTGTTGGAACAATCTTTTTCAGGATTATCAGGCAAAACAGTTTGCTTACTTTCCCTTTTGTTTTTTGAGGTAGCTTGACCCATTTTTGAAATGCAACTTTTTGTATCTATGTGCGTGCTACTTTTGTCCGCTCACTTGTATGTAGATTACTTACTAAACACTTTTTTTAGGGATTTTTATTCGTACAATAATGATATACTAGAGGAAGAATGCCTTGCAAATTCTTCGGCATGTATTGTTTTTTCTTTATTTGATTCTCTTTTTTCTTTGTTGCTGTTCTTTGTCTTTATTCTCGTCTGTATGGAGTTGCAAACAACGACTACACGGAAAAAAAAACAATCAACTTTAATTAAGAAAAAAAAGAAAATTAGGCCTTTTGTAGTGTATTGTCTTTTTAGTATGTGAAAAAAAAATTCTAGACTTGTAAATAAATACAGTTACAGGAAAAAAGAAAGTGGTGTTTAAAGCTGTTGATAGAATTTTCTGTAGAAGATTGTCAAAATAACGAAAAATTCAAAAAATGCAGCCGGTGAAAATTTCGAAGGTTTGCAAAGTAAAAAAATCACACATTTCGTTTCTCTTATGTGAATATGAATAACAAGGTGCACAATACATGCAATAGCAAAATATTTAGTTTATTCTTATTTGATGAGCCAATTTCCACTTGCTCACATGATCAGACCTTAAGGTATTTTTTGAATACTCGAATAATCCCGGAATAAATAATCCTCAAATGGTTTGGACTGTTAAAGTCTGTTAAAGGGCGCAAGTGTTACCATGATGATCTAAGTGTAATTTTTATTCTCACCCCTAAACCAAAAAAAAATTTCCGTGTCCATTATTTTTTTTATTCGATAGCGTGGATGGTTTATGATCAAATTGTGCAAGCTCATTGATGTACACATGCAATCACGAGGACAACTAAGGTATAATTTCCGTAATATCTAGGTAAATGATTGCGCATAGCTTTGTTAAACGTTAATCGTTATAATGATTTACCGTTATGGGATTGGATGAATTGTGTAACTAGAACTACATCTAACATTAAGTAATTATTTCTAAAATACTAATATTTTATTATCAAGATCAAAAAGACATCATTCTTTATATCATCGTATAAAGTTTACTGTATTTAACGAAGCCAAATCACTGATTTAGAGCTACTATTACTGTCATTTTTATTATCTTTCTAAAAAAAAGGTTTTACTTGTCCATTCTTTGTATAGATTTTATTCCTTTGTGTAGTTGTAAAATCAGTTTTATGTTTCTCGTAAGACCTCAAAAAAATCATCAATATATTTCGCAGGTAGAATTAAACGCAACAAAGATACCGATCAGTTTATAATAAATAAGATAAAATTGAAATCATTAAATCATTTATTTTTTTTTTATTAAAGACTATTAAAACCGTGAACAAACAATATAACTTTGAAAATGTTTTATTCCAAAGATATATTGACACGTAAAGCTGGAGGCTTTGGAATTATATGGTAATTAATCAACTAAAATGATGAATTACTGCACCCAATGCAAATCAAATGTCTCTTTATTTAAAGGTTGGCGGCTACTTTGGGATCACGATCAAATCTACGAAAATTATCAAAGAGAGAAGTCAATTCTGTAAATCTTGTTAAAGCATGGTATTATTAATCTTTTGATTTTTTTTAAGAAAGCTTGTGTTTTTGATGGTTTTGTGGATACACCAATTTTTTATATATAGTGATTATATCGTTTCCCCTCCGGAACCACTTGCATTACGGTTAACTTCGAATCTTATGATTGGAATCACGCGAGTTTACTTTCAACAATACACATTCTATTATAGTAGGTTTTTTTTTGAATTAACATAAGCCAGGTATTATATTTTGAATAAAATAAAGCTAAACCAATATTAATATAAAAGCCGATGTGAACAATGTTTGGATTCGTCTAAGAAAAGAATTGTCTGCAATAGAGAGTGAGCTTATGAATATGCCAGATCCGGAAGCAAAGTAACGAAAGACGTCAGCTTTACGATATATATTAAAAAAATCTTTTTTTGTTATTCTTACGTCTTTTTGATGTTGATAGATACGAAGCGATTACGATTGAAGATGATCCAGAATTCTTGATTGAAATGTCTGTGCCAGCCTTAAGAGATATTGGTCTAGTAAGTTATATGTAAATATTCATTTATATTTATCAAATATATTGAAGCAAATCTTTATTTTTAAGGTACCTGATCTTAATAATAGAGTCGAGTTCTCAGAAAATTCTGTTGTTAGTCAAGGTATTATTCTTTTTGGTATTGTTACTTCATAATAGTAATATTATTATTTTTAATTAGATTATTAAAATTTTCTCAAGTTCCTTCGATTTCAAACAATAACTCGAAACTTTCTCGAATTACACTGCCAGAGGACGACTTTTCAGACTTCGTTCCCATATTGGAAAATTTTACCGGTAGCTGTAGTCTTAGCGATTTAGGCGATGATGAATTGCTAAAGGATGATTCTGGGTAATAACACTAATATTTGCTAATAATTATTAATTTATGCTCTGAAAGATAAAACTCTTGTTATTTATGACATCGACAATTTAAAGAATAAGACTTCATTTCGAAGCGGATGGAACTCTCCGAGAAATTATTCCCGATCACCAAAATATTCCTGAATTGGATAATAACGACATTAACGACCAATTCGGTGCTCAAATTTACGAGGAAATGATAAGAGAAGTCAGAGAAGACCATTATGGAGGTGAAGAACTCATAGAAAGAAAGAGACGTAGACTCAATAACCAACCTGGTCCTGAGAATGAAGAGTTATTGGTTTGTTTAAATTGATTAATAGAAAATTGTAATTTTCTTAATATTTATTTACTTTACGCATGATTTGTGCAGAGACTGGAAGATAACAACGCGGAAATGAATATTGATACAGAACGTGTCACATTACAAGAGACCGAAGAATTAGAAAATAATGTTCTTAATCAAGCACAGGAACAAGAAGAACAAGAACAACAACAGGAGGGAGAACAACGACGAAGCGGGAGAAAAAGAAAACTAGCTTCGTTGATTGACGAAACAACGGAATTAACGAATCAAGAAATTCTGTCTATGCGAGACAATTGCACACGAGATCTTATTAAAGCCCAGGAATTGGCAAGAAGAAAGGTTCATTATCTTCAAATTCTACAAAAATGCATTCATTACAATTCTTTGGATTGGAGAAAAATGACTTTTTCGTTTCCTATTTAATAAGGAATTTTCACAAGAATTCAAAGAACAAGCAAAAGCAGCCTTATACACGCCGTGTTTACAATGTTTGTATTTTCTTTTATTAACATTTATTTTAATATTGAACATATTGAATATTCAGTTTTTGGAAACCGGTAGTTAAAACGCCGGAATTACAATTGTTCTGGGACAAGCATTGCGCACCTCTTATGCGAGGTATCGAGAGCTTTTGGATTTTTATTCTTTCTCAATATTAAAAATCTGAAATATTACAAACTTCAGGAAACAGAATAAACAGGGAGTTAACGGAATTCACTGGTAATTTTTTTATATTTACATGTCTTATACAGATTATATAAAAATTTTTTTCGTGCTCCGCAATAAATTTCTGTGTATTCCAAGGTTCAAATCGTAATGCTGGCGCTTTTACCGGATTGAACGAAATTGATTTAGACGATGAATCCGTAGTTCCGGTAATATTTAACTTATTCCTAAATAGGTTTGGTCAATAACATAGTTTCTTCCAAGTTAGATTGATGATGAAATGCTTGACGAAGCTATGCGTCATGAGTCTATGCTTAATGATGAGCCTGAGCTACGAAGAGCTGCAGATAATAGTCAACAGAACTCGGGATTACTGCAGTTCGATAGACTCAATTCTCGTGCAAGCAGCAGCATTGATGGTGTTCCTGATACTGGTAAATCTTTTAATTCTTCATTTTCATGTCTCCCGGTATCTTAATTTCCGATTTGATTTTATGAAAAAGATCTATTTGATCGGGCTTCCTCGGCGGCGGATACGCGTGTGAATCACGATGTATCCTTGGATTTATCTGGTCAACTTGGAAGGTAATCTTCCTTATAAATAAAATCGTTTTATGGTCATATTTCTAATAAAACTCGATTTATTATTTATAGTAATCGTAATAGGCAAAGCTCTGTCAGATTAGATCGTGCATCTATCTCCTCTTCGGGTGGAAGAGACTTTATTGGTGATGATTTCGGATTAATGCCGGAATTCAACATATTCAATAATGGTATAAACTATCTAATGTTAACTGCAAGTCTGTGAATTTTTACCTTGTAATAATAAAATTTTGGGTAGATATGATTGTTGACGACGATGAAAGTTTTAGTAACGGAATAAATACTCAACAAGACAGAAGAGATAGATCGTCAGATGTCGTGGAGAAAGAATCCTTTAATTTTATGGAATTTGTGAAATCGTCGATGGAACAAGTTGGCGTTTCTCGTGTGACGTTTCAAGAAATAATGAATTCTCGACGAGCCAAGAAGTCAGAGGTGGCGAAATCATTTTATCATTTGTTAGGTTTGTTGGCCGATTATATATATATTTCTATCATCCTAAAGCGAGCCCGCATGCTATTTTACCAATTTGCAATTTATTAGTGTTGGCCACTAAAAGTAAAGTTCAAGTAAGCCAGACGCTACCTTACAGCGATATTGTAATGGAGTTTACATGATAGAAGACCTTGTTATTATCGGAAGTTCGATATACTGGCTAGATATTACTATTATGTTTATTTTTTTTATTCGCTTATAAATAATTTTATTGAAGTCGATATTAAATTATTGTTATACCAAAATTTATTTTATTTTCATTATTATTTAAATATTTCTTTTTTTCATTAAATGATACTACCTTAGTAAATGATCTTCTTGTACATATAAGAAAAAAGACTACGAATTTCGTTTAATCACAAAAAATATAAATCGGTATTTAAAAGTTTTTCTATTCTTCATATGTAAGCCTTATGTTTTTAAAATCTTAGGATCGTCACAATGGCATCATCTAATATTACATGAACAATATAAAGTGTAAATTTTATAGTAAAAGAATTCACCACAAGTAAAATCTATGTAGAAATTATAAATTATTTTCTAAGTTATGATTAAGACACTTGCAATATAACATCTTCGATTTTTTTCATATTCCGGCTGATAACATGTTGAAATAATAAATATGACCCGCTTACAGATCCAAACACTAAAAACACTATAAAAAGTATGAACGATACATAACCGCAGTTACAAATCCTGCCGCTACCTTCGCAAAAATATAACTCACGTGTGCTTCGAAATCCATATCGCCAACTATGGTACGTAAGAAAAAGTAATCCAATAGTGGAAATGGCAAGTAGTCCAGCAATCCAATTCCAATTTTCTAAATTTAAAAATTCAATCGGCTGTTGAATAAAATTTGTGTGATTCAAGTCCAAATCCTCATCCCCGATTATGCGAAGATCGATAATTTTTGTCATCCATGAAAAAGCAAAAAATAAACCAAGTAATGTCAAAATTGATAAAAAGTGTGTAAGGATCCAACTTGTTAAGAGTCTTGCGATGCGAGTTCGATAGAACCTGTATTCATATTTACAAATTTCACAACGATATGAAACTCCTTGATGTTTTTCAGTAGCAAACCAGAATTCTAGACATCCAACATGAACATATCTCATTGATTCATTACACTTGCATGGGGAGAATAATCGACCTTTAGTTATGTACTTTGTTCCTTTGATCATAATCTCTTCATTCATAGGTTCTTCGCCTTCCTGACAAATTTTACATAATTTTCG